CACAGCACCACTTTCAGCTTTTTTTGCTTAGGTGGTGCTGAGGAATCGAACCCAGGGCCTCATGTATGCAAGGCAAGCGCTCTACCATTGAGCCACCTTCCCAGCCAGTTAAGTCCCATTTACAGGAACACCCATTCTGAGAGTGCCTAGCCTCTATGTATGAATTATAATTATCCTGAAGCCACCAACCTGTGAGGAAGTCAAGTAACATGAAAATGCCAAAGGGAGATCTTGAAAGCTTCAAGACATCCAATCCAGGTACTAGAGAGGTATTAGTAAAAAGAACCAGATCACCAGTGATTCTAGTTCCTAGTCACTTAGATATTGCAATAGAAGGTTAAGATGCTGTGAAGATAAGAGATATGAGATAATCCTCATACACATCTGGGTGTCCATTGAATTGATTTCCTACAAAATCCATGAATATAAATATGTCCAGGTAATCTAAACTTGGAAGAGTATTAGTTATACAATAATAGTAATTGGGAGAATTAAGTCATACCTTTTTAATGTCCAACCATCATGGAATCTGAAATCTCTAAGAGAGAAACCTTGTGGAGTTTTATTCAACAGATCCAATTCAGTAATTATTTATTGAACATGTACTCTATGTTGAGTTACTACCCTAAATATTGAGGACCTGATGGTAAACAAAGAGGCAAATTTTCTACATTTACAGAATTTAAAATCCAAGGGTTGCCATGGGCTGGTGGCTCTTATTTGTAATCCTAGTTACTGAGGAGGCTGAGATCTAAGGATCATAGCTGGAAGCTAACCTGGGCAGAAACATCCATGGTACGCTTATATTTAATAACCATCAAAAAGCTAGAAGTTTACCTTTGGCTCTAATGGTAGAGATCAGGTATATTGCTTGTCCAGGCCCTGTGTTCAAATCCCAGTAGTTAAAAATATCCAAGAATTGATTCTGTAGCCATCATCATTTCCGCATTTGTATTTAACAAGTATTAAATTTTATTCAGAGAGCTTTACTATACTTGGATAATTAACAGTCATCCACATGTTGACTGAAAGGAACTATCTTTTACTTCAAAAGAGCAATATTTTTCAGGAATTTCCTGTTTTAATGATATTGTAGTCCAACTTTCATTTCCTATAGCAATGATCAAGTCTTTCCTGAATTATCTTTCTCTCTGAGGCCATTCATGCCAGTCTCTGCTTTAAAAAAATACTTATTTTTGGATAAGGATGGAACCAATGCAACAGTAATATATACAAGACAATATGTTGGATATGGCTGGAAGCTGGTGGCTCATGCCTTTAATCCTAGCTACTCAGGAGGCTGAGATCCGAGGATGGCTGTTCAAAGCCAGCCCAGGCAGGAAATTACCTGAGACTCTTATCTCCAATAAACCACTCAGAAAACTGGAAATGTTGCTGTGGCTCAAGTGGTAGAGCGCTAGCTTTGAGCTGAAGAGCTGAGGGACAGCACCCAGGCCCAGAGTTCAAGCCCCACAACTGACAAAAAAAAATGTTGGATATCATCTGTACAACTTGGAGGATGGGGGTGGGGGAGGGAAAGTAGGAGAAAAATGAGGGAACAGGTCACACATTAGATACCTCTGTATATCACCTTGACAATAAAATAATGGAATGTAAAACAAAGTGAGAAATAAAAAACTCATCAGAAAAAAACAAAAAGCTTATTTTCCTCATACTTGTTTAATCTCTTTTTAAGTTTTTTCTTCTTTATCTGTCATTACAGATATTCCTAGAATTTTGTCCCTTTTGCTAATCATGTCACTCCATATAATCCCTCTAAAAAAGTTTTATTGCTCTTGAATTGATAACCAGGTATGAATTGATTTCTTAGTCTAGGATGCCCATGTATTCACTTGACTAATAAAAGTGTTTTCTTTGCTTAATATAATTTTATAAGTCTTTTCATTTCCATATGAATGATACAAGATCATTTGTCCATTGTGTATATATACCATATTTTTTATTCATTGATCCATTAAGTGACATTTGGGTTGATTCTATACTATGGTAAACAATGCTGCAGTGAACATGGTTGTATTAGTAGCTGGGTATGGAAGCTCTAAGCCAGACCCAAAGAAACAGGTTGCATGGTTTCCCTCATTTGTGGTAAGTAGAGTGTGCCTATAAATGTACAAGGAAACACACTGGGTGGTAAAAGATTTAAAAAATACACTTAGACATGATAAATAAACATTCACACAGTGAGACTAAAGGAGGATATTCTTAGGGGATGATCACAAAGGCTTAATAGCTATATGCATATGATTATATAAAGTATTTGTCAAAATACTTTATCATCCCCTTTGGTGATGTTTTTGTTTGCTGTACCTTTTGTCTTGCTTGCAAGTGTATCTGTTTTGGGGAGGGTAAGCGAGGGCACAGAAATGGTGGGACAAGGGGCACACAAATGTAGCAGTGGTACTCACTAGACACTATGCTGACAATGAACAATACAACTTGTGAGGGGTGGACAGGAGGGAAAAACTGGAAGAAAGCAAGGAAAGGTATGACACAGTTCAAAAAGAAATGTATTCATTACTTATGTAACTGTAACCCCTCTGTACATCACCTTTACAATATCAATTAACAAAAACCTGATATTTTCACTTGAATATTTCAAAGGCATTTTAGACTCAATATACTTATCTCTTAACTAATTACCATTCTTTTCATTGAACAAATTCCCTTTTATTCTCTTAGCAAAGTCTAATTACCCTTCTAGTCACCCAATTGGGAAATCTGGGTACAACTCCAAATTTCTCTTGCCAAAACATTTATTAAATGTATGTCAGTATTTGGTCATATCTTTCTATTTCATATTTAATGTTCCTTATTCCACATTAATTAATCTTATTTCCAAACTCTCACTATCAAAAAATTACAAACATTCAAACATTATTGTTTTAAATTCTCAATTACTTCCCATCAGCTACAAAACATAATTATAAATATATGATAATTTTTATTAATGGTTCAGTACAAATATAGATTATTTTTCTAAACTCTCTCATTAGGGTTTGCCTCCATCAAAAATAAAACCTTCTATTCATTGGTAAATGTTACCTATAAAAATCCAGCCTTTTGGGCTGGGAAGGTGGCTCAGTGGTAAAGTGCTTGCCTTGCATTCATGAGACCCTGGGTTCGATTCTCCAGTACTACATAAGCAAAAAGAAAAACAGCTGGAAGTGGCGCTGTGGCTCAAGTGGTAGAGTGCTAGCCTTGAGCTGAAAAGGTGAGGGACAGTGCCCAGGCCTAGAATTCAGGCCCCACGACTGTACCCCCCCAAAAAAATATCCAGCCTGTTATTAATGATACATATAAAAATATTTTAAAAGTTCAATGCAAATATGTAAAAAATATTAATGCAGCTAGGTTCCAATGGCTCAGGCCTATATTTTAGAAAATCAGGAAGCTAAGATCTGAAGATTGCCAATTAACAAGTAAAAAGTCAGAACTGGAAACATGGTTGAAATGTTAAAGTGAGAGCTATAAGTAAAGATCTGAGCAAGAAAGTATGGTCCTGAATTCAAGCCTCAATATTAGCATATATTACAGACCAATATTTGGTCAGAATAAGTCGGATTTTTTCCCTTAAATTTAAATCTAAAGAAAGCATCTAATCTGTGTTCTTGTGGATCAATCCTAACTACTTAGGAGGCTGATATCTGAGGAGCTAAGTTCAAAGCCAGCTTGGATACAGAAGTCTGATGAATTCTTAAGTTCAGTTACCCAGTAAAATCTAGATATGAAGGCATGACTCAAATGGTAGAGTGCCAGCCTTGAGTGAAAAAGCCAAGATTTCAAGCCCCGCTATTGGCATGTGCATAAGCATACCCCCCTCTCTCTTTCTCTCTCTCTCTCTCTCTCTCTCTCTCACACACACACACACACACACACACAATGTAACTCTTTAGAAGTGCAATAGATAATATTAATGAAATACAAAAAAGATTCTTTAAGTAATTTATGGAAAATTGTTTGCACTATTTTTTTCTATAATAGCTAGTATCATGCTAGCACATAGTAGAATTCATGTATCAAGTTTGAAAGAATCTCTATCCTTGGAATAGTCTATTTGAAAAATTAAGCTCCTAATATTTGATTGGCTTCTTATTGGAAGATTATAAAACCTCAGAGAACAGTTAGTATTCTTTTCATATCTTGAAAGGTCTGACTGAAACAAATGTCTCATTGATGTCTTCACTGGAATGTTTTTGCTACTAATTAATCTAATTTCTCAAAACACTTTTTATGTGAGGATTAATCATCATTGCTGGTATTTCTCATACATTAACACAAGAATTACCTCTAGTCTATTTGTTTAGTACTATGATGTTTAAAATTCTATGGAAGGCTTATAAATACTATATATTGTTTTATTTGAGGTTTGTATGGAAAGTTTTCTTCTGAGTATGATGGATATTTTTCAAAATTAGAATTTTTCTGAAAAAAACAAATTTGCGCTGAGGGTGGTAGCTCATACCTGTAATCCTAGTTAATTGAGAGTCAATGATTGATGAGGCATGGCGGTTCAAATCCAGCCCAGTGTTAAGATCACAAGACTCCAACTCAACCAAGAAAAAGCTGGGTGTGGTGGTACATTCCTATCTTATCATCCTAGCAACACAAGTATTACAAATAAGATTGTGGTCCAGGCCAGCCCAAATATATATGTGGAAAATAAAATGAAAAAAAAAGAAAGAAAAAACATAAGAAGAACAAGAGCAAGGCACCAGTGGTAGAGTACCTGTACAGCAAGCACATGATTTTGAATTCAATTGTTAGTAGTACCAAAAGAAATTGAAATTCTAACTATAGCAGTACTATTTTCTTTAATAAAGAAACCAATGCACCATCTGGGACTAAGCCAAAACAAGGGCCATTTGTTTTAAGATACAATAGATTGGAAAATACCAAGAAATGATAGTTATATGCAAGAATGGCAGTTTAAAAGATTTTTAAAACCCCCCAAAAATACATATATGGATATTTATACATACAGCCATTTTTTGAAGACTTGCTATCTTTTCATTTTGATCCTTAAAGCCAGTTGTTTGAATCTTATTCATTGCATCTTCTTTTTCTGCAAGCCACACATTAAAAAGGCACTGAAAGAAATAAAAGCATTCCAAAGAGGACATGTAATTATTACGTAGATTGGTTTCTGTTTTCCTACTTAGTATCTCCTCATGTTTTTCATTGCTACAATTTCTCCCATATGACTCACCTGTTCTTCAGTAAAACGCTGCCATTTTAGCAGTATATCTTGTAAAAGAACCCAGCGGTCTTCTGTCCACCTACAGATGTTTGCCCATCGATCTCCCAATACCTGGGGAAGAGAAAACCAACCACATCAGCACTCAAGTTTGAGTGAACTCCATCAAAATGACATGAATTATATGCCAATGTACCTGAGTTTGAGTTTCTCACGTACACTAGGAATTTAATGACTACCTTTCCTACTTCTGGTTATAATTGGATAAGCAAGGTGACTATGATTTATCTTCAGAGTATCTGTCGCAACTTTGTACTTTCCATTGATAGGCAAATTTATTTGCAAGCACTCTGAAGAAGTTATTATGCCACTATTTGAATGATTTCACAATAAATATGGAATTAAAGAAAATCAATACAAAATATATAACTGTGCTGAAACAGTATACTATGTACAATGAAGATCTACATCTACTGTCTGCCAATAAAGAGGTAATTTTCCAGTAACAATATACAAACTCTCTCCCTTATGCTTGAAAATACACTCCAAGGAATGAAAGTCTGCTTAACAGAAATCTTAAAACAACTCATTTTAATCGTTTCTGCAAAATCATATTCTCTTAATATATGCATTATAGATGAAAAATTTTAGCCACTTTAATTTTATCCATAAATAGATTTTTAAATTACCTGGATTATTATAAAACTATCTTGATTATTATAAATGCGCTGAAATCCTTGATAAATTATTATAGCGGGAAAATTACAATATACACTTAATAATAACTGACATATCTTCAGTATTCTACTCATAGTTAAGTGTGTATATTTTATTATGTAACATAAATCAAATAACAATGATTTTTTATAAAAATATATTGTGATGATTTTTATAGAAGGACAGTATTTTAAGACAAAAGATTTTACTTTAGTTCCATTATAAGCCTAATATCTCTATTTCTATGATTTTTTTTCACAGAAATAAGAAAAGTATTTTACCATAGCTCTTGGGTGTTTAAAGCTAGAACTATCTCAAAATATAGACATAACATCTCATATAGAATCACAGCTAGAAAACATATTTGTAACTCCTATTTTGGAAAAATATCTTCACTGTAAAACTCAATCACAGTTTCTACTGTTCTTCTCTACTCACTTAGAAGAAATTATTACAGGAACAAAACAATTCAAATATAACTACTGTAATAAAAAGCCTAATAATAGGTAACATGGAGAGCCATATAGTTTTTAAATTGTTTAATCAAACATCACTTTGTAAAGCCAGTCTCATACATGAGTAAGCAGTAAATATTTTAGTAGTCTATCAAGATTATCATGTACTAAGATGCAGCTCAGACACAAGTGAATGTTCCTCAAAACTATCAATAAAATGTTAATGCTTTCAGAATAATGTAACTGATTTTCTTATGTTTTATAGTTTTATTCTTTTCTCAATTCCTGAAGCAGGTTAGCTTATCACAAAAGTTATAATGCCATAATGGTAATATGACACATCTGTAAGAAATGGACCTGCTAGGGGCTGGGAAGGTGGCTCAGTGGTAGAGCGCTTGCTTTGCATGCATGAGGCCCTGGGTTCGATTCCTCAGCACCACATATGCAAAAAGAAAAAAGCCGGAAGTTGCGCTGTAGCTCAAGTGGTAGAGCTCTAGCCTTGAGCTGAAGAGCTGAGGGACAGCACCCAGGCCCAGAGTTCAGGCCCCACGACTGGACCCCCCCCCCAAAAAAAGAAAAAGAAATGGACCTGCTTTAATCAATGAATTCAACATTTTTAATTTTCTTAAATTAAAAAAAAGTAATTTAGTTTTTATAAAAATGTAAGTGGGATTTTTCTCCAAAACATAAAGGAAAAGATAAAAAAATCTCATGAACATCCTCATTCATAGATTATTTGGGAAAGCAACTTCAAACTAAGAAAATTTTATCCATTAGCTAAAATCTATGCTATTTATCTAATTAGATAATATAGTTAGAAAAAGTTAAAATTTGAGATTCTGTTCTAGCCTATCACCTCCAGGGGAGTTGATATCAAGAAGGGAAGGGACAGACTCAGATTATATAATATCATCTTCATAACTAGAAAATGAATAGAGTTCTAATTTAATATCAAATTTTCTCTCTAATATGAGAAAAGACAGCATGTACTGAAGCAACATTTTAGACATAATCTTACAGAAGAAAAGATACTGCTTATTGATTTCATTGATTCTGTAATACATATGCAAATAAAAAGTCATGATCTAGACTGCCTACATAATACTGAATAATTTTAGTAAATGTATTTGATATATTTTATATTTCAAATGCTCACTTCGTGAAATAAAATTTCAATACTTAACTATTATTTTAGATACATAATCAACCTACTTAGGAGAACTTTTAAAGAATATCCTCAAAAATGACCTTTGTATCCAAATGATGACTATGATTTTGATAATTCATTGAGGCAGGATTATAATGGCAAATATTTAGCTTATAGTTGATAGTTTCCAATTTATCAGCCATAATTTTATTCAAACAACACCAACATTTACCAAAGCCTCCACATGCCAAATATAAATATAAATAAATATTTTGTTTCCAAATTTATGTTGAAGTACTATATACAAGTTCGATTCCATGTTTAGAATTAGGGTCTTTAATGAGAGAATTAAATTAAAATGATTCCCTAAGGGTATGTTGTAATCCTTTTTGACTGTGCTACTAAGTAGCAATCTGGACAGAGAGATAAGAAGAATAGGCACACCAGGGAAGACCGAAGATACAGGTAAAAGGCAATTACTGGAAAGCCAAGGTGATTAGACTAAGAAACCAACTCTACCAATAGTCTTGATCTTGGACTTCTTTAACAATGAGAACAATGGGAAAATAAATTTCAGTTATTTATATCAGCTAGTATGTGGTATTTTGCTATAGTATTCCTAACAGTCTAATACAAAGACAGCTAAGATGGGCCAATTCTTTCCAAAGTAATTTATAGCTAATTCGTTAGATCTCACTTGAATAACACCAATCCCTTATAGAATTGCTACAAACATTTACAGCCTTGTGTATTGAACATTGTTCCTATTTTTGAAAGAAGGTATGTGCATGTCGAAGGTTATCTTTATTTTGCTTGAACATTTTATATCAAATCTTCAAATAAATGGCACTGACCATCAATTTTACTAAATCATTACAAATGGATGGTTATTCTTCACATAGGTTAATATTTATGTTTTGTAACAGATTCAATAGCTTGAATTGATATTATTTGTAATTAACTGAATCAAAGCCACTTCTCTTGCAAGGTGATCTTAGTGCCTCTTCCTGATACCGGTATAATTACATAAATTAATCAGAAGTTTCTTGCTAATATGATATAAACATTCCCACACATAAGATTTTTTGCAATATCATCTGCCTTAAGTGTGAAAAAATGAACATAAGGTATTTGAACTTCTGGATTTGTTTATTGGTATGAAATTTTGACCTTGATTTAAATTATAAAGGCTGGAGTTAAGTAGTTGGAAAATTAATCGGTAAACTCAATCACTCAAAGATGTTGCTTATCATTGCCTGAATGAGTGTAACTTAACTATTAGACAAGAATAAAGAATTGGATCAAGGTTGGTCGGGAGGACTTGGGGGGGCGGGGGGGGAGGATGGGAAGGGGAAACAAAGGAGGAGGCAACAATGCTTGATAAAAAATGTACTCATATCTTGCCCATGTAATTGTAACCCCTCTGTACAGTATTTTCACAATTAAAAAAAATAAAAGAATTGGATCAAATGGGCCTGATAGGAAGGAAAACTATTTTTAAAAAACTGACATCATTAGAATTAAAATTTTCTTTCCAGGAGAAAAAAGATTATATTTACTCAGTGTTTCTCTGAGTTCCCATTTACATTTAGGAATTTTTTGAGGTTTTAGAAATAACACACTTTTGCCAAGTTAGATAAATACATATATGCAACAGTGAATTATAACATCTCAGGAAGTGATAAGAGTAGTTAATTTTTATTTATATTCTCGTTTTGTCTCAGTAGTAAGAGAAGCTAAAGTTTAATTCATTTACTCTAACACATTTTCATGGATTAAATCAATCTCCATTATCATATATGCTTAAATCCATAATGGAGAGGATATTTTCCCTCCCATTTAATTCACATCTCATTATCAGTGCCACGGACATTTCTCATCTGCATTTTTTTTGTTTGGTTGAGTTGCTTTTTTCAACACAAAAATGAAAAATGGTTACCCAAAGAACATTTGGATAAAGGCAATTGACAAGAATTTAACAAAACTGAGAAGTAAACTCAAATTAGATTTATCAGGTTCTGTGGTAGAATGTGAGAATTAACGTGCCCATCAGTATTGGCATTGAAAAATAAACTGGCCAGGCATATGGTCACTAAAGAAGAAATAATTATATGCTATGGACGAAACAATACAAAGGAGGGAGGCAGCAAACAGCCTTTCTCATTTTATGGCAGTTTATGATCCTGTAGAATACTCCTCAGCTAAATGAAGTCTGTGTATAATTGGCCTTCTGAAAAAATAATCTACTTCTTGATTTTTCTTTATTTGATAAATAACTATGCAGTTAAGTGTAAGCAACTACATCTTCCCAGTAGTACAATGAAAATCACACCAACTTTTTGAAAGAAATAAAATGTAAGGAAAGAAATCTGGCAGAGAGCTACTGATTAATGCTTAGTCAGGCTTGTGATTCTAGTCTCAATTCTATGTGCATTTGTAAGCTATGAAATGAAGTCTCATGTTATAAAATAGAATGCCTTGTATCTTTACTAATGAACATATGGTCCAAGGTAGGAAAACAATTGGATGTATTTTTCCTCAAAAGATACAATTTTTATTTCTGTTCAAATAATTCCAAGCTATTTCTTAACTGAGCTCAAAGAGAGTAACTTTTACTTCTAAAGATTCAGTTATTAAGCAAGGAAACTCACAGATAGGTTTATGTAACTTGTTCTTAGGCATGGATGTCACAATATTAAGGTATCTGGGATTTAATGTCAGATCAATCTGGCTAAGGTCATGCTATTTATTCATGCTATTTATTCAGTAGAGCATTCAGTGTAAAAGATATACCT